AGCAACAATCACCCAACGACCGACGCACACAACAACGCCATTAACAACAAGCAATATTATGGTATTTTTCAGATGTTTTTAATTCAATATTTTTTTTCAAAATTCAACCACTATATTTCCCTGAAAATCATATACAACCGGTTTTATGTATTTCCTTATTAAATCTTTAGTCATTTCATGTTCCAGGGCCACTTGGTGTAGTCGTGTATTATCAGCCAGCATACCTTTGATTGCATTTGCAAATTTTCTGTTAGGACCAATCAAATCGATGAATTAACACCATCAATATACTAGTATAATATAATATGGCGTATATTTCTGTCATTGATAGCATCGATCTTTTATTTGTAACAAAACAGATATAATATAATATAATATAAAGTGACAATGTTCATTCGTCAACAAATTATCAACATCAGATATGAGGCATAGCAACATCAATTTGTCGAATCCATGATTTGTTTCTGTTTTACAAAACAATGTGTGTGGAGTTGGTTGGATGGTAAACATTGTGAAGAATGTTCACATGCATAGAAAGCGCATAATACTCATCTTGGTTGAGATGGTTATAAAGTTATGGTTAACTAATAATTCAATATTAATTTTCATTCACTAAGTTCTGTAGATAACTGTGTTGGTGGAACAATCAAGATAATCCAGATTCAATAACTATGGCCCTAACATTTGTTTGAGTATCAAGTTAGTTTTGCTTTACGATTTTTTTGTTAAAGTAGTACCAATATTACCTCTTGTAGTACATATTCCTTAATCCCAGTACGTCTCCATTCTAACATAGTACCATTTGTGCCTGGTTGAAGCAACTGTTCAGCTTTTTCAACTGATGGCAGACACACTACAATTATAAAACATATGTAACATAACATTTCTTGGTATTATAAATATAGAAATTATTCAGGGGTATAATGCCATATCCGATTAGAGAGGTGAGTAGTATGTTTGACAAGAATGGATGAATATTGAATGACAAATTAATAAATGAGCAATGGTATTTGTTATGTTTCTATAGATTCAACTATCCGTTCTTATATTAATTTCAGTGATAATTTTTAATGATTTGATGATATTGTTTGAAGAGAACAAGTTTTAGTTAAAATATTCATATTTGAATGAACACGATTTAAAACAATTAAAAAACTAAGGCTGACACGTTTGAATAATTAATAAAGTAATATCGCCGTATACATTTTACCTAAAGTGTGACTGATGTTACATCGCGCTCTATTTGATATTGGTCTCATGGCAATGCATTCAACCAGGATAAAATAAACTATAATATCATACGATTATCTTTTGTATTTGCTCATTTATATTTCGATACTAACAAACCATTGAGTTTATTAGTTATTGAGTTTCTGGAATCGTTACCAAATATATAAAGTTGTCGACAAATATTGCATAGATGTATACAGGTGACATGATTACATTTTACTGCGTATTTACTATACCTGGCTTGATCTTTTCTGTGAAAACAACATGTTCTGTCAATCGAATAAGGGCTATGTCTGCGTTTATACTCCGTTTATAATCAGGATGCACAACCAATTTTTCCACATTAATCCCACTTTCATTTACAAATATAGAAGGTTTTCCGAGGTAAACCGTGGAAAGACTTTCGTCGTTGTAATCAAAACATTTTGCAGATGTCACAACCCAATTTGTTGATATCAGAGTTCCCCAACATGACCACCAGTTAACTTTCCTGTTGTATAGCAGAGCTATCCAGGGCCACTTCGCTTTTTCTGCGTCTTGTCCGCCGACTATTCTTTTAGATCTCGTTGGTGCAATACCGCATTCTCCTAAAAACAAGACACTACATACTCAGTTACGAGCGTTGTGAAGCTTTTCAAATCCCAGGGGGGCCATTCTATATGCCGTTACTACCCCATGTGCGATCCAGATTTAGCGGAAAAGAACGGTGTTTTTCACCTTCTAAAGCGGGCCGATGCGTGAGTTAAATAAGCCTCCTTTAAAATGCCAATGTCTGCAATAGGCCCCAAGGAATAAACTCAAAGAGTTGTTGCGCCCACTGTAGGCCCCTCTTGCAACAACCACTCCCAAACACCGCCCTAGGCCCGAATTGGCAGTCCCATAAAACAACGAATGACACCAAAAGGAGCTTGTTTGAGTTGATCACACTCCACTTGAGTGCAAAAAAAACAGCAGAAAATGATCGCAATATATAGGGTAGGATGTTCTCAATATATGTATGCAATAAGAGGGTGTTTTTTTCTTCAATATGTCAGCTCTAAGGTGCACTAAATTTACATTGCGTACGCAATAGGGATATGTTTTGCCAATATGCTGCCAGCCCTA